TTTAGTACGCGGAGTATCTGGGGAGCTGGAAGATGAGAACTGGCGACGTTGTAGTACAACTTTAGTACGCGGAGTAATCTGTGGAGCTGGAAGCTGGGAACTGGCGACTTTGTAGTACAACTTGAGCACGCGGAGTCTTTGGGGAGCTGGAAGATGAGAATTGGCAACTTTCTAGTACAACTTTAGTACACGGAGCAATCTGTGGAGCTGGAAGCTGGGAACTGGCGACTTTGTAGTACAACTTTAGTACGCGGAGTATCTGGGGAGCTGGAAGATGAGAACTGGCGAAGTTGTAGTACAAAGTATATGGGGAGCTGGAAGATGAGAACTGGTGACTTTGTAGTACAACTGTAGTACGTGGAGCAGTCTGTGGAGCTGGAACCTGAGAACTGGCGACTTTGTAGTACAACTTTAGTACGCGGAGTATCTGGAGAGCTGGAAGATGAGAACTGGCGACTTTGTAGTACAACTTTATTACGCGGAGTAGCTGGGGAGCTGGAAGATGAGAACTGGCGACTTTGTAGTACAACTTTAGTACGCGGAGTATCTGGGGAGCTGGAAGATGAGAACTGGCGACCTCGTAGTACAACTTTAGTACGCAGAGCAATCTGTGGAGCTGGAAGCTGAGAACTGGTGACTTTGCAGTACAACTTTAGTACGCGGATGAGTCATCTCTCGCGGCTGAGTCATCTCTCGCAGCTGCTCTGGCGCCCCTGCAGCTGAGTCATGTCTCCCGACCACCCGGCTCTCTTAAAAGGTTGACACACACACAGAGACCCACGCACTGCCTCAACTTACTCGGAGACACACACACAGACAGAGACTCATACACACACAGACATAGATACACACAGAGACCCACACACTGCCTCAACTCACTCGACTTAACACTTCACACTGAACACTTAGCAGATAACTCACACTCTGACTTCCTACGTGATGAAAAATGCTTTCGGGCCACTCGTCGTCTAGTTTCAAGTTACCTCCCTACTCAGCTCAGGAGCTTCTACAGTCTTCCGAGGAGGTTGACCTTCTCCGCTCCACCAGTGATATGTTTCTTGCTGATGGCCAGTTAATCCTGGAGCAGCCCACAAGGCTGTTGCTGTGGGACTGCACCTCACAGAAGCAGCGGGGCGTCATTCGGCCAACACCATCTTGGATTCTGGGTCAGGACTGGTGCAGCAAAACCATAGCACCATTCCCCCAGAGGTCACTTCCATCAAGGTCCCACAATGAGTTGCACGACGCCACTGTTTTTTAAAGAATTGCTGTGCTACCAAAAGGGGTCCATGGAGTGGTCCATGGATATCCAATCTTCAAGTGAGTTTGCATGTGTTTTTGTGTTCTTTATGGTGTGGGTTGACAGGTGACACATTCACAATGCTTGATCATACTCGTAGATGTTGATAGATTTATTCACGTTTATTCGTGATGGGATGATTCGCCTTACCTTGACTACATGGAGGTGTGGTATGGTCCAGAACCCTTTGGCTGCTTGGTCCAGTTACAAACTTCGTGATCCAAAATCTGCAGCACACATACCATTCAGAGGCAATGGAGAGCCCGTGTCCATGGCACGTCACATGCCGTTTCAGGAGGAGCGGCTTTGTCCCTTGCAGGCACGGCCAGCCGGCTCCAGCTTGGCCTTGTGGGCCGAAGAAGGTGGAGCAGCAGAGCAAGGGCTAAGGGGACAACTTAACAGCAGAGGTATGGGTCAACTGTTCTTCTACCAATCTGGGTTTTGGTACCGCAGATTTGGGAGACAGGAATGGAAGACTGCTCATGAGCATGTGAGCATGTGAAAGATCGAAAGGTGCAGAAACAAACACCTGCAGCACGCAAGCAATTGGATCCAGATGCCTCGCAACATGCCCTGCCTACCCTGCCAGGTGGCCACAGCATCCAATTTTGGAGCATTGAGTCGCTGCGTCGACAGCTGAGTTCACCTGCAGACGGATGGCACGCAGAAGCATGTCAGTGGCACACTGAGGGAATCCTCGAGTAGATATATCGAATATGATGAAAAGACCAGTTGGAGCATGTTGATATTCGTTGGTGTGTGCCACATGAGGATGACCCTATATCGGTACTAAGAGGTCATATGACCGCTATGTGGATCTACAGTAGGATATATTATATAGGTGCTTTGGGCATTTTACACCTTAGGTGGCGCAGTGGCCAAGGCCTGTTGACCCAGTGGTCTCCTTTCACTCGCCTGGATCAGACCCTTATGACCTTTGGCGTCTCCGTCGGCGAGCAGCTCCTGTTGGCGGTGGATTCGGCGGAGATGCTCCACGTGGCCTGCATGGAGTCGAAGGGAGTCGTCGACCTCATGGCCATCCCCTTGTTCATGGAAGGCGGCAGGCGAAGTGGCACCAAATTTCGGGGGATGGCTGAACAGCCCGGGTCGTACAGTCGTAATATGTCGTAATAGGTGCTTGTTCTGGCGCTTGTTCGGGCACTGTAATGCAAGTAGCCGGATGTTCTTGGTAGCTTTCGATCGCTGATTGCACCAATCAGCTCCTCCCCTTTTCTTGAGCTGGTACCTCAACCGGTGCCAATATGTTCCAGTGAACAGCTCGTTTTCAGGAGCATTCTCCCCTGCAGCGTGGCTGTGAGATGTGGCATGCTGAGTTTTGTGGAGGCCACAGGACTTGAGGCCCATCAGCGCACCTTGCACGTGTGGCGCCTCGCTTCGAACGGTGACATCTTGCCAGTGCCGCGACGATGTAGCTTCCCCTTCACTACTGGGGGGCAAGCAGCCGTTTCCGTGCCCAAGCCGATACTGGGTCACTTCGTGCTCTTGAAGACCTGTTCAGTGATAGAAGGAGATGACCCGTACTTGAGTGTTGCGGTGTTTGATGCCAAACAGGAGGTGCTACTGTACCACGTGGCCACCTCCGCCCAGGATTCCACGCTCTTCCGCCGCAGCCACCCACTCTCCGATTTGATTTTAGGCTTTTGGGTGAGCGGCCCCAGTGAGACGAGAAGTTTGCATCTCTACAACCTGGCAAAGCCCCAGGTTCGACAGGTCGCACTGAGTAGTTCGGAAGCGAGCATTCGTTCGCTGCCCTCAAGTATGTAGAGTGGTGCGAAAGTTCCAGCAAGTCTGCCACGTCACGTGTTCTTGCTCCTAGTAGCAAGAAGCTACTAGAGTGGAGGCAATCGCTACTGGTAGCAAGAAGCTACTAGGTTGGAGGCCATCGCACTCTTTGATTGAAGCTGAGAAGCTGAGCAACGACAAACAGAATAATCCTGTTTGGTCGCCTTGCCTGTGGGACAGAAGCTGGAAAAATGGTATGAAGCTGACTTGACAAGTCTCTACACTGTATCAGGCGACGCTGCCTTTGTTGTTTAAGGTTTTTTGGAGGGAAGCTGTCTCGGACGTCCTTCGCTGCTTCGTGTAATGCCTCTTGTGCCAGATGATGACTGGCACGCTCAACTGAAGCAGCGGCAACTGGCTCCGACCCTGGAAGTCACAAGTTGCACTGACTGGGGCACCTGCAGAACGCCTTTCTTGCGGCATTTTCTCATGGCATGTAGAAGAAACAGTGCTGAGGCGGCTAAGGTTTGACTGTGATCTTCTCAACGAGTTGCCTCCTTGATCTTGGACGAACCCTGAGGTCCACTTCATTGCCTTCAAAGATCATGCAGATGACCCACAGTACCTTACTGCGGCCACCCTGTCCACCACCTAATTACTCGCTTTAGCATTCTCAAAGTGTCGTTCATGTTGTTTCTACCTCGTCTATGTGTGAGTCTTGTCTCACTGCTCATATGTGACTGACCGAATCAGGGCACACTTGCCTCGTGACATCGTGAGATACTACATGGGCAATGGCATAAAGCACGGCCCCCAGCCATCGATCCCAAACCCCCGTGCCACGTGCGCAGACGTGCGCCATAGGCCACGTGGGCTACATCGCTTTGAGGATAAAGATGGGAATCCGCTGCCCAAGCACGTGCCCAAGGACCCATGCGCAGTTTTAGGATTTCAACAGAAGAAGGTATTCTAATAGTTTTTTTGTTACTACTAGTAAGGCACCTGTTGCTACTAGCGTGGCACTTGGTACTAGTAGTAACAAGAAGCTAGTAGAAACAAGAGTCTGTAATGGAAATTGAGATAAAGGCGGGGGTCAACTTGATCCTAAAGCTCATCCAGGAGCCACTTGTCGCCACTTCTGTGCCGGTGAAAGCACTTCGAATCCCATCATCTTCCACAAACCAGTCGAGAGAGGCGTCAAAGGCGCGCAGTATGGCATTGTTGTTCTTTTTGTTTGGAGAATCCTTGGGCGAATCAAATCCTTGGGACCTCTTCTTTTTCTTTCCTCCCTCAGGCCTCAAGACATGCCTTTCTTTTGTCCTTTCTTCCCTTTTAAGTTGTTTTGGGATGTTGCGCCAACTTCAGATTCACTTGCATGACTTGTGGATCACTGAGAAGACATGACTTTGCAAGAAAAATTCTTTCTGACTATATACATCAAACTATACAGCCGAGCGCTTCACGAAAGTGTCCAGCGGACCTTGACAGGCCAATTCTCAGGCGCCATCATCGCTCAACAATACAGCCGTGGGGTCAGGCGTGACTGGCCATCATGAACCTTCCGGCCGGGCGGGGCTACGAAGCCCGCGTAGGTCACAAGGAAGAAGACAAAAACATATACAGACCACAACTTGCTGACAACAAAGTTGACAACAAGTGTTCACGGACACCTTTGAATGTTCGTTGATCCTCTGAGACTCTAGACTCTAGACTCTAAAGCCTTTAAAACAGTGTGAGAGAATCGGCCAGGTATGGAGAAGTATTGGAGATACTGCTTTTGTTTATCTTTTGGTTCTGTTCGCCTCGGAGCTTTTGTTCGCTCTTTGGGTGAGGCACGAAGTCGCCTGGTCTCTCCAAGTCACCTCACCATTCCACGGTGAACACACCGTTGGGAGCCGAGTGGTACCAAGAGTCAGTGGTCACAACGGTGTCGCCCGTGGTGCTCAGTAGTTTCTCACGGGTGACATCAGGTGGCAATTCTTGAATTAGTAGCGATGCCCTTTGTTCCTAGTAGTTTCTTGTTACTACTAGTAAGGCACTTGTTACTACTAGTAAGGCACTTGTTACTACTAGGAAGGCACTTGTTCCTAATGGCTTCTTGTTACTAGTAGCGATGCCCTTTGTTCCTAGTAGTTTCTTGTTACTACTAGTAAGGCACTTGTTACTACTAGTAAGGCACTTGTTCCTAATAGCTTCTTGTTACTAGTAGCAATGCCCTTTGTTCCTAGTAGCTTTCTTGTTACTACTAGTAAGGCACTTGTTACTACTAGTAAGGCACTTGTTCCTAATAGCTTCTTGTTACTAGTAGCGATGCCCTTTGTTCCTAGTAGTTTCTTGTTACTACTAGTAAGGCACTTGTTGCTACTAGTAAGGCACTTGTTCCTAATAGCTTCTTGTTACTAGTAGCGATGCCCTTTGTTCCTAGTAGCTTCTTGTTACTAGTAAGGCCAGGAGCCCCTAGTAGCGTCCTTGCTCCTGGTAGTATATGAGTCATCTCTGGATCCCAAATGACCCAGCGGAATTTCTGGGGGCTGATTTCTTCATTCCCTGCTTAGCACTCATACATTGTGCATGTTGACAGGTTGGGCAGAATCAGGAACCTTTGTTGTGGGGTTTGCTCAAGGAATGGATGGATGCCATCTAATGCCACAGCTGGGACATGTTTAGACCCGACCCAGAGTGGCACAGAGTGAAAGCCCAGATCGCAAGGGCCTTGCAGTGAATCATAAAAGGTGTTTCATTGGTCGAGGTTGGAGGCCATCGCTAGTAGGTTGGAGGCGCATTTCATGGCCCAAATCCTCACAGCAACTGCCTCTCGATCCAAGGACCGGCTCGCGGCTTCCAAGTCGATCCAAGGAATTGAGGTAGGGCCTCAGGGGCGATCCATGTGTCCTGTTCCGAGAAGTCGGGGATTCGATGAATGACACGTGATGAGTCATTGGAGTCATTCATGTTCCAAGCGCTTTTGAACCTGTTCCTAAATCTTTTATTCGAGCCATGCGAGGTAGCAAAGGAGTTTATTTTTAGTTTGAGTCGTGGTGGCATGTCATCTTCAGGCTTGAGGACAACGCAGAGGATGACAATGAGCCCTGGATAGAAGCGGAGAAGGACAGCCTTTTTGAGGGCTCTCTCCATGGCCTAGGGCTCTAGGTAGGAACGACGAAGGACATCCGATGTCTGTGGATTTCTTCCACGCTGTTAACAGCTCCTCCTTGACAGCTGTCGTGCTCAAGCCGTTCAACTCATGCTGGTCCCATAGTAGTCATGACAAGTGTTTGGGGTACACTGTATATGGTGCTCATTCAATCCAGTAAGCCCAGTTGGCTTTGCATCCTGCTCTGGAAACCGCTTGCGTCCAAGCCTCGGTTTCCAGGAGTCTGATGATGATGAGAGGCCCTGTCGCTTTGATTTGATGACGTGGTGCATTTGGAGATGAGCTTCCTTCCCAGTTGCTGATGCAATGTACTCTAAAGATCTCTAAAGAGCTTACGGCTTACAAAAGAATTCGCTGGATTGTTCAACAGCCGCTTCCAGTTGGAGCCAGTTTCCAGCAGACCCTCCAATCACAAACCGTTGGCCGCATGTGAAGGGAGCACAAACCTCCGATCTTTCTGGAGCAGGCGGGTCCTTGGTCAGTGGGCAGGAAACACAGGGCTAGTGACCGACCATATTGTGAGCAGTCCTCATGATTTGGTTCGCTACTAGTTTGAGCATTGGGGCATTTTCTGCAGATGCTTGGTACGGCCTGTGGCTCATGGTGCTGCTTATCAAAAGTGGAAGATGATTTGTTTTTGAGGCGCTATCATGCTCTAAGTTAGGAGCTCCTCTTCATTGATGGGAGGGTGCCCTCACCTCCCTGACATTGTGGTTGGAAGGCACTAGCCTGTAGATAGATGTTGCTGGTACCTTTACTTGTGCGGCACCTGTGTGAGTCTGTCCACCATGACGCTAGGAGAAAGCCCGCATCTTGGCTGCAGCGGTTGAGAGGCAAGGAAGTCGTTGCAAGGCTTAGTTTTGATGATTGGCCAGGCTGCACATCCCATCAAGTGAGTTCCGCCGTTCTAGCAAGCAAAACCCTTGTTGGTGGCCTAGGCCTCATCAACAATGGAGTTGGCTTGGGGTATGTTGCTTGGCATAAGTGGTGTCATCAGCACGTGGACACACACACACACACACAGCAGAACATCACAGTCTGGCGAAACCACCCATCGCATCAACCCATGACCAATCCCCACGCAATATTTTGCAAATATGTTCAATTCTCGAGGTCCTTTGCTTGAAGGAAGAGCCAAACAATCCTTTCATATCCTTTGCAATAGTGCGCCACCTTGGCATGTCCAAGGAGAAGTTCCGGATTGTGAGGGCCATTAGGGATGGCCTGCCATCATCATCGCCGGACGTCACTTGGCAGATGGGACAAGCATCACGACCTGGCTCGCCCGATGTTCCGATGCTGTAGTTGGCATGGTCGTGATGCATAGTTACATGATGTTACATGTGGTTACTGAGACCAACTGGGTTAGAGGCCTGCCAGTCAAGCTGTTGCCAGCAACTGGCGTTGAAAACATGGCAGGTGCTGGTTGACAATATCCTGTGCCTCGGCTTGCCCAAAGCAGCTTCGGCACCGCCCCGCTGGCGTGGACGATTCGTGGGGCAGACAGCTTATTGGGGGAATGCATGTCCCCGGGCACCTTGTAGAACTCAAGGTGTTTGACCCTCTCAACTTGACGTTTGGGCGCGTGCACGTTTTTTGGCCCCAAAGCCGAGGAGAGTCCCACCTAGTAACTAGCAACAAAGGGCATCACCACTAGGAGCCGGGACGCTACTAGTAGCTCCTGGCCTTACTACTAGGAACCAGAAACTACTAGGGGCTCCTGGCATCGCTACTAGGAGCAAGGACGCTACTAGTAGCTCCTGGCCTGACTACTAGTAACAAGAAGCTACTAGGAACAAAGGGCATCGCTACTAGGACTGCGAGCCGGGAAGGTCCGATGAAGGTCCGGGAGGTCTGAGAGGGCACGGCACATCAGCTACTGCACTTGTATCAGATGAAGTTCGTGTCGACTAGCAGCTATGCCTACGAGTAGCTTCTTGCTGCTATCAGTACCTACAAGGTGAACTTCAGGAAGCTTCGGTAGAGCTCCAATGTGCTTCGCAGGAATGGAGGCTATGGAGGGTCTTTGAGCTACAAGGATGCTGCACTCGCGGCGATTTCGGATGCCCTTTGGTTATACGTGAAGCCGGGCGAGCCAGCTGTGCAACGTCGATAGGGTGTGATCTGTGGAAGAATGCCAGATCGTCACAACCCCTTTCCTGAAGAAAGGTCTAAAGGAAACAAGAAGCAAAAGAAAAGGAAAGGCCTAAGACCTCAATGGGGCCATACTAGACCCTTTTGGGTAGTCTGGGCATGCACAGCCGAGGCTGATTTCGACAAGATTCCTGGCATGATGCTGGCCATGGGCAAGAAGCCCTCTGTGCCTCAGAGCAATTAGAAGATAGAAGCGGAATCCCACCCCACAATGACTGTTCCAAGTATTCTGGTTCTTTTGAGTTCCTTGACACTTTCATGCACTTTCCACTTTTGATCTCTCAGGATGCTGCAGGAGAAACTTTGGACAGGACCGTCAGGGCCTTGGGTGGCCTTAACCGGCCGCCACCGTCCCCGTTCGCCCCGTTGCTCTGCACGTTCGTCCTGTCAAGTCGTTTCAAGTTTGAGATCTGAAGGGTGCCAGCAACATCCAAAGCCAGAAGTCAGCAGATGGAAAGGCTTTCGAGCTGAGGGTGTCCCAGACTTGCCTAAAGGGGTGACCAAAGAGCTTTGCATCTAGCAGGTGCAGAAGAAACTCATGTGACAGGAACCGCGTGAGAAGATTTCGTTTTGGCTCGGATGACGATGATGACGAGGTTGACTACAATGTGAGGTTGCTTGACATTCATTGAGAGTGAAGCTAGATGCAGATGCTGGGCACCAATCAACATTGTGCCCAGATGTGCCCAGGCTCCAGCAGCTAGCGCTCCAAGCGCAAGGCCATGACAAGAGGCTTGAGACACGACTAGGCCAGAAGAATTGCCATGTTTCGGCCGGTGTAAGACATCATAAGACATCTTAAGAGTATGGATCATCCTGGATCTATCGGCTGCCAGTCAGCTCCCAATACCGCCCACCGCTGAGAGGCCTTGTCCCACGGGATCGCCTAGCAATCAAGGCTCAAGAGCCAACACGTCAGAGGCCCTGAGAGATGCTGGGAGTTTGAGCCCCCTGGGTCCCAAAGCAAACTCTTTTGTTGCACGTTATTGTTGCAACATGTTGCAACCGTATATCACCCGAGGCCGGACATACTCATATTCCTCGAAGCTCTCAAAGATGTCACAGGAGCGAGTGGGGGGGTGTTGACTCGGTGGAGATGAGAACATGAGTTCGGGAGACTTTGACCAGAACGGTCTCGCAGTCCTCGCAAGAGCATGATATAAGCCCTCAGCTGCGCAATCTTCACAGTCAAATGTCCTCTATTAGATCTATTAGGACTTATTAGGAAAGGCACCATGCTTCAGGTGCCTTGGAAGTACTCAAGCCATCCCTTTCGACCTCAAATGTCCACCAGTTTCCACCATCACTTGCTGCGCCCCTCTTCCCCAGGGCAGTGGCAGCAAGCAGCGCGACAACTCCAAAGCGAAGACGCTGTTGGAGCTCAACGCTTCGGAACGCAGTGCTAGCCTGACCTTGGCCGCTCGGCAGTGGTGGATGTGGACGCGTCGAGTCTGGCTCCCGGAGGAAGAAGGCATCACGTCCTCAAGCAACTAGTTCAGTGAAGAAAGGTTGTCAAGATGTCATGGCTTTAACTTTAACGTGCTTTAAATGTATGTTGTTTTTTCTTCATTTTGCCGTTTGAGGCGAGTTGTTTAGTGTCGAACTCCTCACGTGTTGCACCAGTCACGCCATGTTTGACCTTCGTTCTAGAGGAAACCTCAAGCAGTGCCGGGGTGCAAAGGTATTTTAATGTGTTTTGCCTTTGCGCCTCCTTGCCATCACAGGAGGATCAGCCTGGCCGTGGTGCCACCAAGACCCTGGAGGAGGCATCCGGTGGGGAAGAGGTCTTGGTGAAGATGTGTCCATGGTCTTGGCCATTTTGGTGCCTGAAGATTGAACCACGATCCAGACCAGTTGAGCTTGAAGGGCTAAGCGTGGCGATCTCCAAATCCCAAACCAGAAGAAACAGAAGTCACCGACTCACCGACCTCCAAAAGAAGGTGCCTTGCAGATATAAGCGGGGTGAATGCAGCATGCCTCTCATGTCAGGCTCAAAATCTCGATGGATGTGTGATGTTGCTGGTGGGAGGGTGTCGATTTGATCATTTGATCCAAGGAATCCAAGGCCAGTCGCCTATACACACCCACATTGCTCTTCCCCATGTGAATCCCAGATAAATCGTTGTCGTGCCCCAGGCGGCTCAAAACTTGGACCGGCTGGGCAGCAAATTGGGCAGCAAAGGCAGGGGATGGAAGAGGGTTCGTTGGGTTGCTGACGAGGGCACTCTTGAGATCGAAGAACCTGCTCCAGCAACAGCACCAGCACCCTGCAGCGGCACCAGCACCCAGGCTCGAAAGCGCACACATGCAGCTTTTCTCTTATGAAGCAAGAACCCCAATAGCTCACGCTATCTGGGGAACAAACTCAGCAAGCCCGTCCAGTCTTCTTCACACCCTTACGGAGAAGGAGGGTCATATAATTGCATAAATAAAGGATCATAAAGGAAGCGTATGAAGCATCATATGATATATTGCAACTTGTATATGACATATGCCAATATATGCATGTTCCCAAAGGATAGTGAAGGTGAGAGCAGACAATCGGCAAGACTTTGTGCCGGACGTTTGGGCCACCCTGCGGGGTTCTTTCTGTGTCGATGTAAGCCAATGTCCGAGCCAGGCATTAGTGATGGGCTTGGGGCTCAGAGCCGTCAGACACCGTGGGGCTCGAGCCATCACTTACACTCCCTAGGTTTGCTTGATGAATCTGAGGTTTCAAGCCATCGATGAGGAGGAAGAGCAAGAGCTTCGAGCAGCAGGTAGGGGCCAGTGAAAAAGTGTAGTTGGATAGTTTGTTTTAAACTTTGGTTTGATATCACCGCTTCTTGAATTCTGTTTGTCAGCCTCTCCCTCAGGCCTTGCAGATTTTCCAGATCCTGCCGAACGTTCCATGAGCGTCGATACCACTAGCTCAGCACGAAGGTCGCCGTATTAGAAGTTCTTGATGGTATATTGTCCCAGTATTGTGTTAGTGATTTCTTTCCTGCTTCTCCGGCACGTTACGTGGAGTTCTCCCAAGGAGAGCTCCGGCCCGGACAATTTTTTTGGCAGGCAGGAAGGCTTTGGAAGGCCACAGCACTTTTCGTCTCACCTATTCAACAATTGGGCAACAGCACCAGGTGCTTCAAGATCAGCCACTCATTAATTCAAGCAACGCGGAACAAAAGCCTCACCCATTCCAAAAAGTGCTCGGCGCTAGCTCCTGGAAGACATCATAATGGGGCAACTTGAAAGTATACTATGTCATCTCGACACGCCATTTGCTTGTTGTACACTATGTCCCTTTTGCAATGGTTTGCTCAAGAAGCTGCTGGATATGCACATACATGGAGCAAAGGCATGCATTTAACATTATTGACAATGCTTTTGAGGAAGCGTATGTGCACGATATTGCACGATGACAGCAAACCGTTTGGGAGTTCAAAAAGGCAGTTTGTGCCTTCCAAGCCCAAATCCCCTCGACAAAGATCGGCATGGCAGATCGTGAGATGTCGGCCTTCCTCGGTCGCATGGACCGGCTGGGCCAACGGGTGAAGGACTGAAAAAAAGAACGCAATCTTCTTTGAGTTTAATAGCCGTGGCCTCCAACCTAAGAGCCGCCTCCACCCTAGTAGCGATGGCCTCCCTACTAGCGACGGGTCAAGGACTGGAAGCGAGCTCGAGCCGACCTGGAACGGGTGAGCACACCATTGGCCCGCAGCTGTGTCGGGGTGAAGCACGCCTCCGCTGCGCGCACGCACAGCCGGGGGAGTCGAAGCCTCAACCGTGGCACATCGGTGGAGACGAAAGGGGAGAGTGAATGGGCCAAGGAGGCCTTGAGACCCAGCCCCAGCCGGAGTTCCAGCAAGGCCACCTCCGCCATGTCGCGTTCTCCCAAGAGTTTTGTCAGCATTCTGCCTTCAGGCCGATTACTTTCAGGCAGAGAATGGCTTCCAGAGGAGAAGATCGAGCGCGCTGAACTTGATGTTGAAGGCGCCAAGGCTGGCAACAGCAGACCTTCAGAGATTGTGAGGAACGAGTGGCAACGAAGTCGCAACAAGCTCATCGATGGAAGCCCATCCCGACGGCTGCGCGTCCGCAGTCCCAAGCGGGCTGTCCTCAGCGGCCTCAGCCCATCGAGATCACGGGACGTTTCGGAAAATCCTTTCTGCATGGCCTCAGAGACCATTGACAATCCTGCGGCTGCAAACAAGGATTCCTTCTTGCAAGGTGATGTCTTGTCCTTTGAGGAGCGCATTCAGGCTTTGCAAGAGAAAGCATCTGGCTTGCCGAAGGCCAACATCGAACTTTGGCTACTACAACCGAGTGGTAAGTTATGTGTTTGGGTCATGGTGCATCAAAAGGTGATGCCAGCACGCATCACTGTTAGAGTCTGTTAGAGTTTCCCTTGTGTGGATGCATACATCAATGAATGCCTACAGGTGGGAAGTACACGTGGGAAGTTTTTCAGAGCACCTCAGTCTAAACGGACGGATCGTGACTTCATGACGGCTCGCTCCTGCAAAAGGAGGTCCCTGATTTTTCTGCTACATCGGCATCATCTGCAGCTTCTCCGGATTTTTGCAGATCGCTCGCACTAAGGAGGCTGGCAGCTGGTTGCCTGTGGGTGCCAAAGCCGCTCCGCAGGCGAGCAACCTGCAAGGAGTTGCTCGTATATACGCGATTATGCAAGAATATTTGTATATTCATGTGACATGTATGTTCATTAGGGAGGATGTGGGTGGGGCTGGCACATGGAAGCCCACAAGGGAGGTTCGAGATGAAGACTTCTGAGGCTTGCAAATGTCCAAGGGGTTGAAGTTAAGAAGGGTCGTAATCCTTGGATGTGTTGGGTGGACGGTTGGCCGTTCGTGTTTACTTGAAAGCAGGCCAAGACTTGGGTTTGCGAACATCTTCCATCATTGTTAGGCCTTGGGTAGGCCCTAGGCTCCAGGGATAAACGGCGTAGATAAAACTAACCTTTGTGGCTGATGTCCCCAAACAGAATTTGAAGTAGTTGCTCCTCCGTGTGGCGTTTTGAACGTCGGTGTGAGGCCACCGGCTCACCCAGCTTCGGCAGTCCTTCAAGCCCTTGGTGCCTTGGGAAGGGTGGCGATGAATTGGCAAAAAGTTACTTTGAGGTGCCAAAAGGATCCAAAAGGATCATTGGACGACCAAGTCATTGAATGATTTCATTGCACAAACTGGTTTTTCATCCAATTAACCCCAAGTGGCCTGTGGCCTATGAACGCACTTCCGTTCACAGCTGGCCGGATGTGGACTAGAGAGCTGGGCTCATTCATTCAATCCCGCTTGGCAGGCAATGTCAATGGGCAAAAATATGGCCAAATGGATTCAGGATGATTCAGGGGCACGTCACGAAGCATCGTAATTGGCTTGTTATGGTTTGTTGGGTCAGCTTGTGATGCTATTGACGTGAAACCATTAAATCATCTCTCAGCATTGCATGGTCTTGCTAGTGGGTGCTGGTGGTGCGGGTTTTCGCCAGTGTTCCTTGCCCCAAGGTGAAAACTGCCTTTCAACAAGCTAAGTGACTCTTTAAGTGACGCCTCCAAGCTGAGTGAAGCCTTTCAACACCTTTGCTGCCTCCAAGATCTTCGGTGTGCTGAGGCGCCCAGTGAGACGTTCCCCGCAGACGGGGCGGTCTCAGGGCTCCGATGAGACTTTGGCAAGTCGGGTGAGTCCGGGTGCCCAGGACGGATGAAGGGACTGAACAGTAGCGAGGCCAGGAGCCCCTAGTAGCGTCCTTGCTCCTAGTAGTAAGGCCAGGAGCCCCTAGTAGCTTCTTGCCTTTGTTGGGCTTTTTCAGAAATCGGAGGTCCAAGGGGTAAAATGAGACATGTCTTAACAGGTTGAAATCAGCATCTACAGGACTCCCTCGGTGGAACCCTGAAAGTGGTGTAACATGATACGGATGGTGCCTCGTTTTGGAGGGAAATCTGTTGCTAGGCTGTACGAGTCAAGTTTGTTAGTTGTTGTTTGTTAGGTCTGGTTTTAGTGCACTGGAGAATTCAAGTTGTGCACTTTGGGTTTGCACGCTGAACCTTCCGCACTTTCAGCTTAGCACGGTCAGATGATGAGTTGTATGTTTTAGTTGCCATGTCCAGGGTTTCTCACAAGAAGCACTGGGCCATCAAGCATCATGGCATACAATGACAGGTCAGCTAGAAGACTCTCTGGGACGAATTGAGCCTCGGTAAGCAAGTTGTTGGGATATGTTGGGATATTTGCCAGAAGGATGCTTGCGTGACGCAACGTAAGCTCGTCATCTCTTTGCACCTTCGGCATGGAAGGCCACTCAGAATACATAGAGGTTTGACCTATGCAATGCTTGGCCGATGTGTGTCCACATAAGCTGCAACAAGTTGAGAGCCTTGGAGTGAAATTAAGAGACTCGACTTGAGAAGAAGAGGCCAATCAATGAAGCTTTGAACTTGCAGAAATTCACAACGTCAACGCTGAATCCGCAGAATGAAGAATGAGACCGGCCTATGGCCTTATTTGTGTTCGCACTACGGGGGGGATGTATTGGCCACCGAACATGCCCAAAGATGTCCAAAGAGCAATGTTTGCAACTTCGCTCCGAGGAATTCATGCTGCAGCAAGTCTTGGGGATGGCAGGTGTGATCAATCTGGTGGGCGCCATGTCACCTGCGGCCAACACAATGAATGGTTTCCTGGGGACAATAATGTTCTCTTAGAACATCTCCGCATTGTTGGCCACACTCGAAGGTTGTTTCTTGCAGTTGCCCAACAGCCTGCAAAGTATGTGATTGGACCGCGACTCATCCCAGACGCGCACACACGCACACACACACGACACATAGGCCTACACTACACATCACTACACCAGGTATCATTTTAAAGGCCTTCTGTGACGACATTCCTCAAGTATCCAGAAGTGCTGGGTGGAACCAGCTTCGTTGGTCTATTTGCAGGTTCTTCTGGTGAGCTGGCTTTCAAAGCTCCCAAGGCCACATGACATGCATTGATGGTTGGGGGATCGGTCTGAGGTGATCAAGCGAGTGTCCGTAAAGGCGGGAGGTAAAGGAAGCCTTTCTCGGCATACAGTGAGATTCATGCATGTGAAAGACACACAACTGGTTGGTTGCTTCAGATTCATCCGACTTGGTCCGAATCGAAGATATTTGAGAAGATTTGAGATTTAAGAAGTTGGCCCTCAACCCAAATCAGAACAGCACCGATCATCCGTCGCTGAGGCGAATGGATGGCCTCCGCATTGGGCTTAGGAAATCTTGTTTCTAGTGGTAAGGATGCTCCTAGTAGTACGGCCAGGAGCCCCGATCGTAGCGTCCTTGCTCCGTTCGTAGCGATGCCAGGAGCCCCTACTAGCTTCTTGTTACTAGTAGTAATGTTCCTTATTTCCTGTGCTTCTCCAGTTTCAATCGGCACAGTCTTCGGGTCGGTCACGGTCAGTCTCACCGGAACACTGTGGAAAGGCTCTCAGCGGGGCTAAGGCCAGGCCGCAGATCCCCCAACGCCAAAGGCGCACGGGACAGGTTTCCGGAGATGATCTGCGTGAGGCCGTTTGGGCCCAAACCTTCTTACCAGTTTGACACGCCAAAGCTGCTCAAACAATATAAACTGAACGCAGGCCTTAGAACTCAAGGGTCGGATTGTGCTTGTGTGAAACTTACTAAACCTTTGGCTCATGCCAATCTTTTTGTTTGACACGTGCCTACTCGCAACTGTACCCACGAACCTCAACCTTGGTATGCTTTCCAACCGAAGAAGCTCACGAGATTCTCGTTGCAAAAAAGACTTGGACTTCCTCGTCGAAACCAGCTTGATTGGGATCGCTGGAGTCAAGAGAGTTGCATTTGACGTTTTGACTGCCTTTCTATCCACTGCGGTAGGATTCGTAGGATCTCAGTAGGCCTTCAGCTGGGACGGTCTGCGGCCTGCTCTCCTCGCGCCAGGTTTCACTTCTGTGGACACCCCGGAGGTCGCCCAGGAGGCGAACCATCGGTTCCACCAGAAAATCAAACACCTGAGGGGTTTGAAGATGATTGAAGAGTCGCGCAAACTAGAGGCATTGCCTGAATGTTCAATTGCATGCTCATGGGATGGGTTGAGCCCTTCCCAGCTGGGTGATCAGGTTGGTGCCAGAAGAGGGTTCTTTAAATGGCCTATGGTCGGGAGCCTGAAATCGTCAGACCTCCATCATTTTGCATGCTTTTGGTGATGCTAGTGGCTGGGGGGTCGAGTCGAGGATGTGACTGAAGCCGCAGAGGAAGCGCGGCTGCAACAAGCCAAAACATTGGCTTGTCGTGGGTTGTAGTTCTGGATGCATGAAAATTTGCCAAGATCTGGTGGATGCACCTTGAGGCTTTAGTGTAGCTGCGTCCTTGGGATGTGGAGATTGCTGGTTTAATTCTTGGAAATTAATGTAAACCATTGTTTGCTGGCATTGCCCACATCTTGTTTCGCCAGTTGTTGCAGAATGAGTCAAAAAGGAAGGCCCGCATATGCGCCCGCATTGGTTTTTGAGCCTCTCATTCAATGGAGCGCATGAGTCAATGAGAGCGGAATTTCTAAGTTGGAGAGTGCCGGGGGGGGGGGGCAGGTCGGCCAAAAAATACATAATATATAAAAAATAACCATGACAAAGTCTCATGAACGCTCATGAACCCTTGGCAGGTCTACAAGTGGATGTTCAACAGCAACCACGGGTTTGTTCCGTAAAAATGATAATGAAGGACCAGTATCCCATTTTGCTCGTTGAAAGCAATGGATTCGTAAGTAGTGAGCGACATTGGATGAAATTGGTTTGAGTTCCATTTTCACGAGAGGGTAAAACTAGGTTGGGAAACCAGATTTGGCCCATATTTGGCATTTCCATACATTTCCTTATTCCATTTATTAGACTCTACTAGGAGCAAAGGGCATCGGTAGTGGGAGCAAGAAGCTACTAGGAGATACTAGGAGCAGAAAGCGTAGCTGCCACTACTGGGAGTTATTTTTTCCACGGCCGTAGGGCCAATCGTTCGAAAGAATCGTCCTCTAAAGGCATGATTTGTTCCAAATCACGTTCCTTCAAAGCCGTTCTGGAAAAGGTTATGTGTCAGTGAGAACACGTAAATTGACAAATGTTTTGGATTTCTTGTTGTTTTATGGGATGTCACGCAACGAACTTGTAGAAGTTTTTGGTGCTGCTGCCATTAAGTGCTTGATTGTATAGTTATTTGTGCATTTGGGCGGAGCATTGTTTGTAGGTTGTGCCGATCCTCAACAGGTGGATGGCTTTCTCGTCGCCCCTGGGCGGCAGTTTTTGCGTTTTTCAAGATATGAAGGTTGCGGTGTTTGTACAAAATTTTTGCTACTAGTAGTAATGCCCTGGTTACTACTAGCTTCTTGCTACTAGTTGTTGTAGTGTTTACATGTTGACATGTGTTTTTCTAAGGTTTGTCAGCGCATGGTTTGTCCGGACCTCACCGGATGCGTTTGGAATAAAGTACACGTGCACTTGTAGAGCACGCGACTGGAATTTTGGGTATAGAAAAAACTGTTTGGTTCGCCGTTTGACACTGCACTCACCAGCCACAAACAGATCGTCGAACTTGGGGCGACCAAGGCGAAGTTATGCAATTGCAAGCGCCCTTTGCACGAGGCGCGATAGGACTGTGCCAAGGTTTGTCATGCTGTAGCATAGCAGTGCAAGTCACGTTGGGTCGTGGCAAACTGTTGCACATCGCATGTGATTTTGCTGCTTTGGAAGGTTGTTCAGATCCGTTGGAACCGAACGCCGAGGCCACCGCATACACTCCGCAAAAATGCGTGGAGTGCTGAGGAAACGAAACAAAAAGCTAGAGCAGCAAGCCACAGGGGTCAGCTCTTAGTGTATGTAGTGAACTTCACAAAAGCAATCAAACAAAGCAGCGTGCTCCTTGAACAATATCATTTTTTGTGTTCGATAACTGGAGTATTGCCAGAAACCCTCGACCCACTAAGCCATGTGAAACCAACGTTTTTGTCAATGTGTTTCTAGTTTCATTTTTGTTTCTATCGTGGGCCACTTCTTTTATGGCCCTGGGTGATAAGACCCAGGCAGGTTGCTTTTTGCTCCCTGAAAGATCCTGAAAGTGTCCTGTTTAAAGCGAAAGTCATTGCCAGGCGTCTCTTTTGGGGATATGGAAAAAGAACAATCCCAGACTCAATTTCAGAATGCTTTGAAGAGATGAGTATATTGATGAATACGCATAGCGCCCTTGATTGACGTCTCTGCTCGAAGCGAAGATCTTATATGTAAGAACACACACAAAAAAGGTATCGTCTCATGATTTACAAATTGAATCTTTGGGAGATTTTTGGGGGTACCTTTTGGGGGATAGATCCTTTGCCATTCTCATTAAGCCCTGGTCGACTGCACACGACACGGAATGGCTTTTTGGCAGCCAAGGTCAAAGATCCACCGCCCAACCCTAGATGCACCAAGACGAGTCAGGTCCAGGAGGTGGGCAGAATGATCTCGACACCAGAGACGCTTCGCTACGAATCAGAGCTTACGAATCAGTCCTTTCGCTTGTCTTCCTCATGATTGAGGTAAGATTTTGTAGAAGTGGGGGTGCTCCAACTGACAGGTGCAAAGTAGAAAGGGAGATCGACAACCAACCCACTGGCCCAGATTGCCGCCCAGCAAAACAAACACAGGATCTTGGAGAAGATTGCACCGTTTTGGAGTTTCTTGGGCCTTTTGCGCCCTTTGACCACAATGGAAGGGGATCAAGCCTGCTGTTCTATCATCCGTAGTTCTCCCTGGAAGTTTTTCTTGCCTCAGCAATGTGATCTTCAGATCATGATCACTAAAATACCATGCTGCAAAAGGGAAACACGGTATTAGTATAGGATTTTTGTTGGTCTCCCTGTTCATGTCAAGTCATGAGCAAAGCAGGACACAAAATGCAAGAGATTTCCCAAACCGTGCCCATCTCCAATCACTTCCGGATTCATCGGTCCCCAGCAAAAGTCTTAAGACATCCACGAACAAATCCTGCTTGCACAATTCTTACAGGCCAGTTTGGGTCCAGATGTTTTTCACGAGTAAAACTTGCGAAGCCTGTTCCGTGATCCTGCAGATTCAAATCGACAAGATGACGGCAGTGCCAGCTGTCTTGAGCTCAATGACTTGTCAATGACCGCAACCCCAAGGAAAATTCTTTGGGAGTGGGTTCTCACATTGGAATTTGGGGATTGTTGTAGTTAAAAATGCTTTGATAAGTATTTCAGCCATTGAAGTCTAGTGCCAGCTGAGCGCTTGCAGTATGTGTTCTATTTGTCCAAGAATATCAGTTTGTGGGTTCTGACTGCTCTTCCTTTCTGGAGCTTTTTTGCTGTCCATTCAGGCAACCTTAGGTCTTACTAGTATTGGCCTTTAGAGACAGCATGAGACAGCGAAATCGTGATAGCACAGGTCCCCTCACCAATCCACTGGAATCCAGAGGGGGGGGTAGGACAAGGTAAACAGCAATCCTGATCCTCATGTTAAACAAATGTCACAGAAGACGCTAAGGACCTCTATAACTAGTAGCGAACCTTGTTACTACCAGTAAGGCACTTGTTACTACTAGCGAGGCACTTGTTACTAGTAGCATTCTAATGTCTTCTTGCTAAGGACCTCTATAAGAAGATGGTGGTGGCAGGGAGCCGTGCAAGGGCAAGAGGACAGCACTCTTTGAAGGCCGATGGGTGGCGTTTGGGACCGCGGTGTGTTTGACAGGGGACCTTTGTTCATCGGTTTCCCAAAACACGTGACATACTGTTCCTGACATGTCCTGACCGAGTGACACCGAGAGGAGCGACAAGATCATGCTGGACCTTTAAGACTTAAGCACCAGCATCACCCAGCAAAAATGGTCAGCCCTCCAAGGCAGAGTTTGCAAGCCTCAGTGCTGTCAGAAGAGAATAGTGGATGTTAAAGAGGGCCAACATGCCACCTCTACGAAGGATGCTATTCCTATCGTGTGCGGGGGATAGTTGAGGTTCATTGAGAATGCAGTTGATAGACCGATACACTGACTCACTCAAAAACGAACGGGAAACGATGATTTGCCAATGTTGAATCTGCACATTGTTTATATCCATGTCCGTCAAAATCTAGGAACGGCATGAATAGTGCGTAAGCTTCCTACGTCCATACTATACTCTACCATTCTTGCTACTAGTTTCTGCTTTCCTAAATAATAGAATCTAAATGGTAAAGCTGACAATCGAATTACTATACATAAAGATACACAAAATACGTATGTTAAAAATGCAGTTTTCCGTTGTTTTTCCAGTTTAACGGCAAAATGGTTGGGGTCGAGTCCGGCCACTCGGCCAGGCCAAACCCCGGACCTTTGTCGATATGTCGCGTGCTCAGTGGGGTGGAAGGTTTCCTGTTGCGATGGCCTCCAACCTATTAGCCATGTCCTCCAACCTACTAGCGATGGCCTCCAACCTACTAGCGATAATCCCTTGGTTCTTTTGAATCTTACAGATGGTTTTGTGTACGTCTACGTGCCTTTAAAAGGGACTTAAGGGTTGGACTTTGGCACAATGACGTGCGAGTGCATGACAAATTATTGCGCATTTAAGATATTTTAAGATCATTTGGAACTGATCGTGACTTCATGTTGGTAAACTGCCTTGTATATTTGTACATATATTTACTGCAATGTATGTGTGAAACGTATTTACAATCATGAATCATGTACATTTGGGCAGAAATTCGAAGGAAGCACACAGTTGTGCGGTTTTGCCGAACATTGTGGAAACGTGCCTTCGAGACCCGCCAGGAGACATCCGAACCGCTCTTTTGAGCCGAGCTTGGTCAGGAACAAATCATACTATGGCAACTTGGATCAAAAGGATTCAAAAGGTATTCCCGCAACTTAACAATTAGCATAATTAGTTCTTATTGGCTCACCCCCATCCGGTATGATGGTGGATTTTGTTGAATGCGTGTTTTTTCTGATTCGGGAGGGTTCATGGGGCTCGGGGAGGTGGGCGGGGTATGGCGGGTGCCGCCGGGTTCCTCAGGTTGATCCACTCGGCAGATCTTGCCTTCTAGGCAAGCGCTCGTTTGATGCTCGCGAATCGTCACAAAGCCATGAAGTCAATAAAGTGTGTGAAGTCAGCTGAGATGGTTGGAGTCTGTTGGAGTCGCATTTTTGACACCAAACTTCTTAGATGTGTGTCTTGCCAGGGGCCTCTACGCTCAGAATGGATGGCGCCAAGAATCCACGGGGGCGGTAATACGACTTTGGCCAATTGGGCTGATCGAACGCCTCCACTGAGTTCACGCGATTGGTGCGTCACTGGACTAGAGAGGGGTCTCATCAGAGTGATAATTTTTGAGACGACCGCGCCTGTAAGGCACAGAGAGGAACCACAGAAAGCATGAGAAAGCAAAATTCAATGCAAATGTCGAATTCTTCTGATACAATAAGCTTCTAGTGACAAGTGCATCGCTTCTAGTAACAAGTGCCTTACTAGTAGTAACAAGAAGCTACTAGTAACAAGTGCATCGCTTCTAGTAACAAGTGCCTTACTAG